CTCTAGAGAAGGCTGCTTGCAACTTACAAAATACTTTACTGGCAGCAGATATCAGAAGAAAAGATTCTTTCTTTCTTTTATTTTTACTACTCTTCAAGAGATCTGTCAATGGTATCACAATAACTAAGTACTTACATATGAATCTTCTATAGAAGTTCACAAAGCCCAGAAATACCTGGATATCATGAAAGCTTTATAGTAAAGACTACTTCATGATTGTCTCTATCTGCTTTGGGTCCATCTTAATACCTTTGGTATCAATAATATATCCAAGGTACAAGATTATTTGTCTTTTAAAAGCACATTTAGGAAGCTTTGCAAACAACTGATATTTCCTTAGACACTCCATAACTAATCTAATACACTTCTGATGCTCCTTCTCTGAGATCAAGAAGATAAGAATATCATCTAGATAAACTATACAGCATACATCAACCAGGCCTGCCAGCACTCTATTAATATAGGACTAGAAGGTTGCTTGTGGATTTGATAATCTGAAAGACATGACAAGGTACTCAAAACTCCCAAACTTTGTGTGAAATGTGATCTTCCATTTGTCCTCTTTTTTGATTCTAATCTGATGGTAGGCATTACATAAATTCACCTTGAAAAAGTAATATGCTTCTGCCAACTGCCTTAATATTTCATCTATCAACAGCAGAAAGTAATAGTCCTTTACTGTAACTGTGTTAAGATCACAATCATCAACACAGAGCCTGAGTTCTCTGTCAGTCTTGGGCACAAACAACACTAAAACCCCTGCCAGACTTTATAACAGATGTATTCAACTCTTGCAGAGCTTGTTCTTGATATACTCTTATAGAATCTCTGTCTGCTTGAATGATAGTTTATAGATTGGCATGTATAAGAGTTCACAGCCATCTTTAAGAACAATCAGATAACTGATCTTTATTAATTCCAGCAATTCTGCCACTTTTTCTTCTGAGAAAACATCTTTATAGTCCCTCAACTACTCAGGCACCTCTGTTAGAACTTGATTGTTATCTGATACAAAAATAGTATAGAAGAGTTTGTTCTTGATGTATACTGCTTGAAAAAATTTATCTCCACTCAGAAGTTTCACTGTTTTCTCTAAAGATTAATAATACCACATCTTGTTCTTCCAGTCAATATCCAGATTGAAATCTTTCAACCACAGCATGCATAAAACTATATTCATATTGATTATATTAATCACTGCAAAGATTCATCTTACTATCTTTGTGATCTCCATAGAGTTCATTATAGTGAGTTGAATCTTATAGATACCATACCAGTCAGCCTCAGCTTCATTCAACATCTCAATGACTTCTATAAGCATCTCCAGCTGATCTCAGTCCAATTGGAATACTAGTTTATAGAAAATACTGTCCACTGTAGTATCTGAGTCCAACAGTATAGCTTGTTCCATAAAACCACCCAATGATATAGTCAGTATGATTGACAGACATATACTGCACCTGCTTATCTTCTTTAGTGAGTTGACACCCCATCTTTCTAATATTTGATCTGGTTCATGCATGGGCTTTGCAGCTCTAGTCTTTATCTGGTTCTTATTCTTTTCATCTGTCTGCTGGAACTTGTTGAAGCTGTTTGAACAAAACTTTGTCCTATAATCTAATTGACCACATCTTAGACAGAGTCTCTTCTCTATTTGTTGTTTGTGTTTCTCTTTAGATATCTTCAGAAGTGGTTTTGCAGGTGTCTTCTTTAACTGTAAGAGTTTTTCTTTATTATCTTGTTGAGATACATCTTTTTCTTAAAAGATTGAGATTTTCTGTTTCTTCTTGTTCAAGTTCTTGTTATTCTGTCTTTGCTTCTTCTTTTCTAGAATGAACTTAATAAGAGTTACTTGTTCTTATAGTTCTGCAACTATCTTTAATTAATATTGCAACTTATTAAGTTCAGCTCAAATACTTGTTTTGAGCTTTATCTGTAGAAAGAGTACACAGAAGAATTCATTCAGTAGATTTTTCAGATCTTGTTTAAGTTCAGTAATATATATGAAAAATGAAGATATTAATTGATCTTTCTACTGAGTAGTATTATAATATTGTTGCATTATATCTTGACAGCAAGTTATCTTGAATTTAACATTATTCTTATATCATGTTTTGAACTTTTTTTATACTATAGATATTTGTTCTTCTTCTATTTCCAACATCTGCTAATGCATCTGGGATTTATCACAAAAATGACTAGATGTCCAGTTAATTCTAACAGCATCTGTCACTTTTTATAGTGATTTTCTCAGATGAAAATACTGTTTTATTAAGACTAGCTACCTTTTATACTCACCAAGTAATTTGTCATGGTAATAAGATACTTTTGAAGATTTCACATTTTCAAAATTATCTGATTTCTCTGTCAGTTGTGTCTGCAAGAGAAATTCTGAGAGAAAATTATTATTTGTCAATCTCTGTTTATATTCAATCTGTTTCTGCAGTCTATATATTTTATTTTATTTATATATGTTTGCTAGATTCTTTTGCAAATGTGTCTTCTTTTCTTCAAAAGTTTCTTCTCTTTGAGTTTCATCTAAAATATTAAGAGGTGCATCTCTATTGTCTGTGTTATTTGCTGGTGTCTCACTGGTGGTGGTTCCACTACTACCAGCATCTTCATTAATGCTTGTTTTCTCCACATTGGTGTCTACCTCTGTCAGATCTGTAATGTAAGATGTTGTTGTGGTTTATCTTGTGGGTCTTGGTGGTATTGTACCAACTTAGATAATTGTATGTTGGAGTGTTCAGAATATTAGAAGAACCAGTTATAGATCATGTAGGTTTTCCCAGAGTTAGAGATACAAAAGAGCTAGATAGATACAATGCCTGCAGCTGATGGGAGGGAGTCATGTGTAGAATGTAGGGATTCTCTAACTAGGAGACTGAACACTAAGGTTTCTATAATTCATAAGAGTCATACAATTCTTATACATTCAGGAGTATGGCCACATGGCATTCCAAATATCCAATGTTGTCTGATGCAAGGTTGGTCTAGACCTACATTTGTAACACCTGTCTACAAGTTTTATATAGTTGCCAATACCAGAAGCTTTATCTTGTGTACTCTTTTCTATGTACAATTCCTCCTATAGATTCATTGTCATGCTGATCCACATGTATGATCCTCACATTACTATAAAAAGCTTGTCCATCTTCTTGTGTTTTAAAACACTGCTTGCACAGTGGAATTGAAGCTAGATATACTTCTGAAATATACATTAAAAAAGCTGACAATGTCAATGGATAATCCCTGTAGTTCCTGTAGTGTAGCAACATGTCTCTTGTATTCTGCTAAGTCAAATTTTGAGTTGACTCTCCTTATATTCAGGAACTCTAAATGCTATCTCAGTCTTGCTTCCCGGATGTAACTCAGTATGTTGCTGAAGAACCAAATAATGCTGTTGGCTGATAAGCACCGTCTGCCAAGAGAAAAAATTACGTAATACAAGTATAGTCACGTGATATACATGCGAAGCCATACCGGAAAAATGAGATTTCTGGACAACCTTCAGAAAGCATTTATCTGACAACCACCAGTTTCTCAACTGAGAACTGTAGATCTACAGTATAGCAACCATTTCTTCTCATATATGTATAAAGGGTCTGAAACATATAAAATTTGGAATGTATCATGCACCAGCTCAGGTTTTTGATCAGGCTTCCTAACTAAATATGGTATAGCTTTGAAAATCTTTCAAGATCAAAGGGCTTTGTTTGTCCTTTCATGTTGATTTTTCCTTCTAAAATCAACCAACCTACCAATCAACCACCCTACCTAGCTGCTGAGATTTGCTAAGTTGATTACCTAGTTAGATTGATTATTGATGGATTTGCTGATGGTTTTGTTGATAGATTCATCTCTTCAATCTTCAGACCCTACATGTTTGTTGAATCAATTCCTAGATTCCTAGGATCCTACATGCTTGTTGAATTAGTTCCTAGACCCCTAGGATCCTACATGCTTGTTGAATTGATTCCTAGACCCCTAGAAATCCTACAAGTTCATTGAATTGATTCCTAGATTCCTAGGATACTACATGCTTGTTGAATTGATTCCTAGACCTCTAGAATCCTACATGCTTGTTGAATCAGTTCCTAGACCCCTAGAAATTCTACAAGTTTGTTGAATTGATTCCTAGACCCCTAGGAATCCTACAAGTTTGTTGAATTGATTTCTAGATTCCTAGGATCCTACATGCTTGTTGAATCAGTTTCTAGACCTCTAGGATCCTACATGCTTGTTGAATTAGTTCCTAGACCCCTAGGATCCTACATGCTTGTTGAATTGATTCCTAGACCCCTAGAAATCCTACAAGTTCATTGAATTGATTCCTAGATTCCTAGGATCCTACATGCTCATTGAATTGATTCCTAGACCCCTAGGAATCCTACAAGTTCATTGAATTGATTCCTAGATTCCTAGGATACTACATGCTTGTTGAATCAGTTTCTAGACCCCTAGGAATCCTACAAGTTTGTTGAATTGATTTCTAGATTTCTAGGATCCTACATGCTTGTTGAATCAATTTCTAGACCCCTAGGAATCCTACAAGTTCATTGAATCAATTCTTAGACCCCTAGAAATCCTACAAGTTCATTGAATCAATTCCTAGATTCCTAGGATCCTACATGCTTGTTGAATCATTTTTAGATCAATTTTTGTACATAGTGAATTTGCAAATAGTCATGTAATATACTCTGTAATCCACTCTGTAATCCACTCTAATCCACTTGTAATGGTTGATAAACCAAAAGTAGTGCGCGGAATGTTTCCAAGCTGGAAATGTAGATAAAAATATACTAAGGTTCTACAGTTTCCATGGATATATATTGGTCCCAAAATCCACGTATCGGAACCAGTGGATCTACGATTTCCGAATCCCCCCAAAATCCGCTATGGAGGCGGCTGGATAAACTGGCCCCAATTTTCTCTAGGCGCGACATCTTCCCTTCACGTGCTTTGCTGCACAAGTGGCCACCAGATGCTTCAGAATTACGGATAGTTGACTCGTAATTAGCACCTTAATCTTCATGCCAAAGGCCTTTGTTGGGTTGATCAAGAAGGCCGATACTATCTACGGTGAGACAGGATTTGACAGCTTCAAGATCAACATTGATTTTGAGAAGGTGGAGTTTGTCGAAACTTTGAGAAGCTCGGAGGCGTCGTCACTATTTCACATCAGCTACTGCGGCAAGGTCCGGGTCCTGAAAATTGTATGTGCCCTCATTCTGGCTCAACGTTTATCGTTTCTAATTTATACGTACGTAGTTCCACAAACAGAGATCCTGGCTATGCTTCTGACCTTCTTCGTGATTTAAACCCTCTCGCTGCGAAATTAGAGCCTATTGCTACTTCAAACAGTTCAGAATATGCGATACTGGCTTCATTCCCAAGTTTACGAATTTGCGGTAAATATCAAGCTGGTGGCCTGTGCTCTCTACCTTGATGCCTTTCGGCAAGATACCAACCATCCATGTGCCATTTTAGTCAAGTTTCTGTCAAAGTCTCTCCTATTGAACTGTGTTACTTACACACCAGATTGATTGTGAAAGGATGTTATATTCATCCAGCAAATTCACTCTGCTTGAGTCAAGCACTATCCAAAAAATGTAATCATTGTTCCTGGTGATCCTGAGAGAGTTGTGTGGATTGATTTTGATGCCAACATTGTGTTTCCCTAAAATAGTTCAATTGAAGGGAAGGAATGTGAGCAGATTGACTTTGAAACTGCTGTTGTTGAAAGTTTCAGACCATTGCCTGTTTGTCATCTCACAACCTTTAGTTATTGCTTATTTATTGAGGAGAAACTAATGATGTCTGCAGGAAAGAGACCAAAAAAGGGGTCTTGCGCCCTATACCAAATTCTACCAGAAAAAGTACTTTCAAGGAGACACCAAGCATAATAAAATTACAAAATTTGCCAGTCATCATCTGCTGTGCTCAACATCCAAAGGTACCACAGTCCCAGGAGAACCACTAGTTGTTCAGGTCCCTTTGTTTCCCATGGTATAGCATGTGCAACCAGTAAATTCCCACTCGCCTCTAGCCTTTTGATGGGTACCAGTTCAGTGTTGGATAAGACATAACTGTACCGCGCATCATGCTGTTCCATGTAGTAATTAACCTGAGAAAGGACCTGCATAGACTCCCTCTGTTCTGCTGGTATTTGTGATGTTCCTCTGCACAGCTAAGGAGAGTCTTTACGAATTGACGCCCAGGGGATGGGTCAGGAGGTTGTTCTTTTTGGGTGGACTCGTAAATAACCTCCTAGATACTTCATACGTTTAACTATATAGGGGGAAATAAGTGGACACTAAACTCCCTGCTGTGTTGGACAGACACAACCCTAAGAAATACCGAAAGGACCTGGGCACTAGTGAAAGAAGCGAAAGACGTGTTGCACGTCGGAATGCAATAAATACCAGCGAACCAGCTGCGACCGCAAGCACGGGAACAAAGGGAAGACGTAATACACGAAACCCGCTCTTCCCTGTCAACATAGAGCGATCTTGCTTTGAAAGTTCCGAGAGTGCACTACAGACATCTTCCATCCTCATATACCCAGGCAGAGCCCAGCAATCTTGAATAATATTACCCAGGAATATGCCCTCTGTGTTGGGCAGCTCTCTGTCCCAAGGCCAGTTGGGAAAATGGATACGCCTGGCTTCAGCCATTCGATCTGGAATCGCGTAGTTCTCATTTTCAGAAATCGCCGCATGATACCATGTAGCTGGGTTGGAAGGCTGGCAGATACGGGCTTCGAACTTCTCGCCAGTAACAACATTATAGATAAGGGAACCGAAGCAGGCAATGTCATGCTTGAACGACAGACTGTCCTCATTGACCTCGCCAATATCCAGATGTTCCGGAACGACACGAGAGTTCCCAAGGTAACATAATTTGAGCCTTTGACCATCCGCAATTAGGAAGTTTCTTGCAGTAAAACCGCCGATGAGTACACGTTTTGAATGTGCATATGAGACAGCAGCGGCTGCTTCCCGCATGCAGTTCAATTGCCGGGTCCGATTTAGCTTTGTTTGTGATAGGTATTTGTCAAGAGTCCTGTCCGGTAAGAGCGATATCTCAAAATCTGCGAGCACGTTGGCATGGGGTCCTAAATGTTCATAGATCTTCTTTTCGTGTTCAAGTGGACAATCCAGAGTAACCAACTCCAGCGCAGCCAGCAGACTTCTCGCGTTCTGGAACGCATTCTTGACCCAACACCTTTCAATGATGGAACCAAGCCAGACGTCCTGGGTGGAAGGTAGAATATCCCGCCGTGGCCAGGCGGCGCAGGCGGGCCCTGACGGTTGATCCCTAAAGAGATCAAATTCGCAATGGTACCCAGTTACGACCTCATACATCACTGCACCCAGTTGGCCCATGTCTGTGTAAATTGAGTAGCCACGCTCGTCGACGCGCTCCATATCGGTATTGAGGGGCAGAATAGAGGACTCGGAGAAGTCACAGAATCTTATGGAGAGGTCGGCGCTGAGAAGGAGGTTCTTCGTAGCAATATCTGCTACTACAACGCAGCGGTCGTGAATGTGGGCAAGGCCATGAGCCATTTGCCGAAACCATGAGAGCTGATCCGATCGAGGCGGGCGTCGTTTCTTTATATATGCAGTAAGATCTCCGTTTTCCATCAACTCCATTCGAATACAATCACCAGGGAAGTCAAAGCAACGTGCAACGCCCTCACAGCCCCGTAGCCGTCGATACACGCTTATTTCATGTCTGATGACTTTAAGGTTCGCTTGTATATCAACGTTACTATCACCGATATACCTTAATGGAATTTTAACCGCGGTGCCATCCTGTTGGACAACGACCCCGGTTCCACCATAGCCGATAACAGGATCACTAAGAGGAGTCCCGTCAAGGTTTAAGAAAGGGGTAGACATTCTAAGAGAGAAATAAATGTTGATTGATTTGAGAGCCCACACTTCTTAGCATGTAAAGCATCATGAAGGAAAGTCAGGGGAGGGTTGCAGCACAAAACTAAAATTTGATACAGAGCAACATTTGATGTGTTTTGTTCAACGTCCCCTTTTTTGTCCTGAGAAAAAAGAGCATGTGACCGCCACCGCCACCAAACAACGCTTCACTAACTTATGCTGCAACCTTTACCCCATGTGGCTGGGAGACAGAGCCGCCACCTGCACCAGCATCCCCTTCATCACTTTTTAGTTTGCCCTGACTTCGATGGTTTGGACAATTTCGCTTGCGCTTAGTTGAGCTTGCTTGAGAAGTAGGCGTTGGGCTTTCACATTGACTCCCTCTTTGCTCCGCCGGTTTGCACCATTTGTCAAGGCACTAGTCTCTATGTAGTTAGTCTCCAGCTTAGCGGCTCGGATCTTCTTTGATCCGATGCAGAGTTTTTGATGGAGGACTTGTATGCTTGTCATTCACTAAGCTACCTAAAGGGGAATCTCGGCTAATCTATGTGGGTCACGTGAGCGAGGTGCTAGTTGGATTACCTAACACCCCCCCATGCAACGAGCTCCAGCAGCGAGCGAGAGCCACAAAGATCCAAAGCTTCCAAATCTCACAAATCCGCGATAAAAATTAATTACAGAATCCAGATTTATTCCTTCTTTAGGCTTAGCTCCGTTTCGCCGCGATACCGTATTTTCGCTGGCTTCACTGATAAACCTCCATATTTTCCTGTATCAACTCGTCACCCCTATCGCGCTCACGAATTGAGCGTAGGGATCCATTGCAAGAGCCTTCGTGAGCCCGTCAGCTTTATTTGCATCGCTTCCAACGTGCTTGATCGAGATTTCGTCCTTTTGCACCCAGTCTCTTAGCATATGGTGCCGAATCTCAATATGGCGTGCTCTTCGCGTTATAGCTTCAGCTTTGGCTAAGTCAACGGCTCCCTTGTTGTCAACACTTAATTTTGAGCTCCTTAGCCTTGCTGAGCCTTCACTAATTACCCCGGCATCTATCAACAGGTCGTTGATCCAAACCAGTTCACAAGCAGCTTCGCTAGCTGCCAAATACTCCGCTTCGGTCGTAGATTTCGAGACGGACGTCTGGCGCTGTGATCTCCACGATATTGGAGCTCCGTTCATGGTAATAATATAGCCGCTGGTGGATTTGTACGCAGGGTCGGCTCCAGCCTAGTCAGAATCCGAACTGGCTGCCGGTTTCAAGCCTTCAGGATCCATATCCCTTTTGAAGACTATTCCTTTCGATTTTGTGCCCTTGAGGTAGCGTAGGATCTGCTTGAACGCCGCCCAGCTCTCCCTATTGGGCCTGCTGTTGAATCTCGCCAGATAATTGACTGCGAATGCAATATCCGGCCTCGTACACGTAACTAGGAACTGTAGAGAGCCCAGGCCTTTCCTGTAATTCGTAGGCGTAGCCTGCTCGTCAACTCCATCTTTGAGGGTCTGATCTGGCGCGAATTCGATGCTTATTCCTTTCTTCATTGGCGTTTTGGAAGGTTTGCAGTCTTCCATTCCATATTCGGTCAGTAGATCCTCGATATACTGTTCCTGGTTCACAAAAAGGTCTCCATTTGGCTGCTTTTGAACCCGCATGCCTAGGTAACGGCCCTGTTCCGTAACCTCCTTGATTTCGAAGCGTTCCTGAAGCTTCTCGATGAGCCATTCTGTTTCGGCTTCGTTGGGTCCCATTATACGACAGTCGTCGACGTGTAGGGTTAGGTAGATTTGCTTCCTCTTGTGGTAGAGTAGGCCCGCGTCGTATGGAGAGATCTGGAATCCTAGAGATTTCAGATAGTCAGTAGCTGCTTGATACCAAAGCCTAGCAGCTTGCTTCAACCCGTAGAGTCCCTGGCGTAAGAGCCCTACTAGGTTACCCCGCCCGTGCTTGAATCCAGTGGGTAGTTGAACGTATACACGTTCGTCCTCTGGAAGAGTTCCATTTAGGAAGGCTGTCACGAAGTCAAAGACTCTGACCTTCCAGTTCTTGGCTGTTGAGATAGCAAAGAAGGCTCTCGTTGTAGGTCCACTGACAACTGCTGCATAGGTCTTCTTGTAGTGAACGCCTTCTTGCTGTTCGAATCCACGTACGACCCAACGGGCTTTGAATCGTACTGTGCCACCCGTGTTGTTGAGCTTCCTATCGAATACCCATTTGCCAGAGAGGATCTGCATTTGGGGTTCCTTCTCGACTAGGATCCAGGTGCCTTTCTCTTGTAATTTGGAGACTTCAACATCTAGAGCCTCTTTCCAATAAAGCCACTCTTCAGAGCGTTTGGCTTCGGCGATGGATTTTGGTATATCTGTACGCGTACTGAGCACTGGAAGCTCAGCTCCATTTGCCTCTCCTTCCTCCGTAGCATCCGAGAGGATTTCTTGCTCTTCGCCCAGGTATGTGGGCTCTAAAGCCTCTAATTCGCCGTCCGCGAGCTTCTTCATGATTTCTGGCTTCTCCTTCGCAAGGTAAGCTAGTAACTTGTGTTGCCAGCCGTTCAATGGATCTATGTAATCGTACTCCTCCGGGAGTTCAACGTATTCGGCTTCGGTTAGTGAATTCGTAGGGATTTGATCCAATTTCTCGTCGAATATAACATCTCGCGAGATCATTATACTGTTCGTTTCTGGGTCCCAAAGCCTGTAGGTGTGCATGCCACGATATCCTACAAATTTGACCTTCTTGGACCTAGGTTGGAGCTTCGAGGATTCGTTCAAAATCTTCACGTAGGCGTCACATCCCCACCTATGGACCCATCTGCAATGGGGTTGGTGACCCGTCCAGGCTTCAAAGGGTGTCAACGGCTTCGTGTTCTTGCATCCGTATAGAGGCACTGAGGTAGGCGATAGATTCACCATCATGGAGACTGTGGCGAGAGCTTCGCCCCATAACTCATTGGGTAGTCCTGAGTCTATAAGTACGCTTCTTGTTCGCTCGCAAAGAAGTCGTATTCCTCGTTCACTCGTTCCATCTTGTTGAGGTGTATATGGGCACGTAATCTCCTGTTGTATACCCTTGCTCCTGTAGAATTCAGCCAGTTGTTGGCTCGTCAATTCGGGAGCTCCATCGGACAGTATAGTGCCGATTTTTCGTTCGGTAGACACTTCAATCATGTTGATCCAGTTCTTTAGGGTTTCTGGAGCTTCTACCCGCTCCTTCAGGAGGTAGATCCACCTGTATCGTGTGGCATCGTCCGTTATAAGTAGGAAATACTTCGCTCCGCCGTAGCTTGGAGGATCGGAGTCTGTGGATAGGGTACGGCCGCCACCTGCAATATCAATAAAAATTTTAGCTCCAGGCTTTGTAGAGCGTGTTCTAGGTTCGAATGGGTTGCGAGCTTGCTTAGCTTTAGCACAGGTTTCACAGAACCCTAGCTTCTTTACTCCCTTTATTCGCATTGCCATTCTCGGATCTCTAGCTAGAATAGCTATATCGTGGGCGTTGAGATGCCCCCAGCGTTTGTGCCAATTGGCCATCGTATCCTCCTTGATTTCTGGCGTCTTTGCCAGGTGATTCGGTGCCAAAAGCGCGTCATCTCTATCTTTATTCTCTAGAGTTGCTGTTACATAGCAGGGCTCTAGGAGTTTCGTAGGTACTGGAAACGCGTATGCCAGTAAATTGCGTATCCTAGGCGTTCGTAGGACTAGGATGTCATCCTCGTTAAGCACGGCTTCGAAGCTCTGTGTTTTATCTGCCGATTCTAGTAGGAAGATGTGTTCTCCGTCGACATAAAGCTGTTCCACTGTAAAGCCGTCTCGTATAAGCTTCCCAAAGCTTATGAGGTTAACCTGGAGGTCAGGCACGATTCTAACCCCCCCAATGCTCAATTCTCCATTGTCAGTTTGGATACTGGCCGTGCCAAATCCTCTGGTGACTGATTTCGAACCGTTCGCCATAAGCAGTTGTGTTGCATGGCTCTTTGGGTCCATTTGAACTAGATCCGTACGTGAGGTCGCGTGGGATCCGGCTCCAGAGTCAAGGATCCATTTGTCTGTGGATTCGCGCGCTTCTTTCATAGAGAAGGCTGCTTCGTGAACCGAATGGATCTTGTCCGTTGCAACCGTAGCTGTTTCCTTGCCTTTGCCTTTAGAGTCTTCTTTAGGCTCGTTAGGCTTCGAATTCTTGTTAGATTTGCAAAATTTAGCCAAATGGCCAGGTTTGCCACAAATATAGCAGTTCCAGTTCTGCAGTGAGCTCTTCTCTGGATTGGATTCGGAGTTCGTATTCTTATAAGATTTTTGGGGATCCGAGCTTGTTGCATTTGTATTTGGCTTTGTAGATCCGCCTTTCTTCAGGTCTTTCTTGGGGATTCGGTGGAGGATATCCTTCAGTAGGCCTTCCAAATCCTTCTCCGGTAGGTTCGTTCCGCTCTGGCATGCCATATCAAATCGGTTCTGTATGAACTCTCTCCATCGGGACGTAATGTTCATCTTCAAGATATCGTGTAGGGTGTGGTCCAGTTGTTTGAACCCTAATCTCTCAAATTCCCCACGGATTGCTAGGAATCTCTCTATATAATTCCTTTCTGAGCCAGCGGACTGTGGTGTCATTCTCACTAACTCCGTAAGTAGGCTTTCCCGCTGTATCTCAGGTCTCTCTTGGAAGGCTGTTCTTACAGCTTCCCAGAGTTTGTAAGCACTAAGGCTATCTGATTCCTCGAAGTGTTCTCTGGCTTGTGCAGATATTGTGCTGTCGATTAGGCCGTGTAGCCAATTGTTCTGAACGTTCCAGTATTGTGAAATCTTCGAGTTCTCTGGCCGTGGTGAGGTCTCTTGTCTTTCCAGGATAATCTTCTCAGTATCCACTTGACGAGCTACCTTTAGGATGGCTTTGCTCCATGCTAGGTAGTTGCTGGCCCCAGCCAGGGTCATAGGCTTCTTTACCGTTTTCGAGATCTTCATGAATTGATTGATCGCTCTGCCGGTTCGCGTATTCGTGTCTATAAGGTTGCCGACAAATTCTTCTAGTTCGTCCTCAGAGTCTATTTCTCGGTCCCCTTCTTCTTGTTGAGCTTCTTGCTCCGGGTTTTCCTGCACCGTTGCAGGC